TTGAGTCAAAACATAAAAGTCCATTTTTCTCAGAAACTATAAGAGATAGAGCAAAAACAATGAAAATCTCTGATCACTTGGATTTCTCAATGAAAACTGATTTTTTGAGTGAAAACATAAAAGTTCGCTTTCCTCAGAAACTATAAGAGATAAAGCAAAAACAATGATAATCAGTGATCACTTAGATTTCTCACTGAAAACTGGTTTTTGGAGTGAAAACATAAAAGTCCATTTTTCTGATTTTTAGAGTAAAAACATAAAAGTCCATTTTTCTTAGAAACTATAAGGGATAGAACAAAAACATTGATAATCTGTGATCACTTGGATATCTCACTGAAAACTGATTTTTGGAGTGAAAACATAGAAGTCCATTTTTCTCAGAAACTATAAGAGATAGAGCAAAAACAATGATTTTTTGGGCGAAAACATAAAAGTCCATTTTACTCAGAAACTATAAGAGATAGAGCAAAAACGATGATAATCTGTGATAACTTGGATTTCTCACTGAAAACTGATTTTTTAAGTGAAAACATAAAAGTCCATTTTTCTCAGAAACTAGAAGAGATAGAGCAAAAACAATGATAATCTGTGATCACTTGGATTTCTCAATGAAAACTGATTTTTTGAGTGAAAACATAAAAGTTCATTTTTCTCAGAAACTATAAGAGATAGAGCAAAAACAATGAAAATCTGTGATCACTTGGATTTCTCAATGAAAACTGATTTTTTAAGTGAAAACATAAAAGTCCATTTTTCTCAGAAACTATAAGAGATAGAGCAAAAACAATGATAATCTGTGATCACTTGGATATCTCAATGAAAACTGATTTTTTGAGTCAAAACATAAAAGTCCATTTTTCTCAGAAACTATAAGAGATAGAGCAAAAACAATGATAATCTGTGATCACTTGGATTTCTGACTGAAAGCTGATTTTTTGGGTGAAAACATAAAAGTACATTTTACTCAGAAACTATAAGAGATAGAGCAAAAACAATAAAAATCTGTGATCACTTGGATTTCTCACTGAAAACTGAGTGAAGACATAAAAGTCCATTTTTTTCAGAAACTATAAGAGATAGAGCAAAAACAATGAAAATCTGTGATCACTTGGATTTATCACTGAAAACTGATTTTTTAAGTGAAAACATAAAAGTCCATTTTTCTCAGAAACTATAAGAGATAGAGCAAAAACAATGATAATCTGTGATCACTTGGATTTCTGACTGAAAGCTGATTTTTTGGGTGAAAACATAAAAGTACATTTTACTCAGAAACTATAAGAGATAGAGCAAAAACAATGATAATCTGTGATCACTTGGATTTCTCACTGAAAACTGATTTTTTAAATGAAAACATTAAAGTCCATTTTTCTCAGAAACTATAAGAGATATAACAAAAACAATGATAATCTGTGATCACTTGGATATCTCAAGGATATCCAAGTGATCACAGATTATCATTTTTCTCAGAAACTATAAGAGATATGAAAATCTGAAAATCTGTGATCATTTGGATTTCTCACTGAAAACTGATTTTTTGAGTCAAAACATAAAAGTCCATTTTTCTCAGAAACTATAAGAGATAGAGCAAAAACAATGAAAATCTCTGATCACTTGGATTTCTCAATGAAAACTGATTTTTTGAGTGAAAACATAAAAGTTCGCTTTCCTCAGAAACTATAAGAGATAAAGCAAAAACAATGATAATCAGTGATCACTTAGATTTCTCACTGAAAACTGGTTTTTGGAGTGAAAACATAAAAGTCCATTTTTCTGATTTTTAGAGTAAAAACATAAAAGTCCATTTTTCTTAGAAACTATAAGGGATAGAACAAAAACATTGATAATCTGTGATCACTTGGATATCTCACTGAAAACTGATTTTTGGAGTGAAAACATAGAAGTCCATTTTTCTCAGAAACTATAAGAGATAGAGCAAAAACAATGATTTTTTGGGCGAAAACATAAAAGTCCATTTTACTCAGAAACTATAAGAGATAGAGCAAAAACGATGATAATCTGTGATAACTTGGATTTCTCACTGAAAACTGATTTTTTAAGTGAAAACATAAAAGTCCATTTTTCTCAGAAACTAGAAGAGATAGAGCAAAAACAATGATAATCTGTGATCACTTGGATTTCTCAATGAAAACTGATTTTTTGAGTGAAAACATAAAAGTTCATTTTTCTCAGAAACTATAAGAGATAGAGCAAAAACAATGAAAATCTGTGATCACTTGGATTTCTCAATGAAAACTGATTGATAATCAGTGATCACTTGGATTTCTCAATGAAAACTAGTTTTTGGAGTGAAAACATAAAAGTCCATTTTTCTGATTTTTTGAGTAAAAACATAAAAGTCCATTTTTCTTAGAAACTATAAGGGATAGACCAAAAACATTGATAATCTGTGATCACTTGGATTTCTCACTGAAAACTGATTTTTCGAGTGAAAACCTAAAAGTCTATTTTTCTCAGAAACTATAAGAGATAGAGCAACAACAATGTTAATTTGTGATCACTTGGATTTCTCACTGAAAACTGATTTTTTGAGTCAAAACATTAAGGTCCATTTTTCTTAGAAACTATAAGGGATAGACCAAAAACATTGATAATCTGTGATCACTTGGATTTCTCACTGAAAACTGATTTTTGGAGTGAAAACATAAAAGTCCATTTTTCTCAGAAACTATAAGATCATTTGGATTTCTCACTAAAAACTGATTTTTGGAGTGAAAACATAAAAGTCTATTTTTCCCAGAAACTATAAGAGATAGAGCAAAAACAATGTTAATTTGTGATCACTTGGATTTCTCACTGAAAACTGATTTTTTGAGTCAAAACTTAAAAGTCCATTTTTCTTAGAAACTATAAGGGATAGACCAAAAACATTGATAATCTGTGATCACTTGGATTTCTCAATGAAAACTGATTTTTTAAATGAAAACATAAAAGTCCATTTTACTCAGAAACTATAAGAGATAGAGCAAAAACAATGATAACTTGGATTTCTCACTGAAAACTGATTTTTTAAGTGAAAACATAAAAGTCCATTTTTCTCAGAAACTATAAGAGATAGAGCAAAAACAATGAAAATCTGTGATCACTTGGATTTCTCAATGAAAACTGATTTTTTGAGTGAAAACATAAAAGTTCGCTTTTCTCAGAAACTATAAGAGATAAAGCAAAAACAATGATAATCAGTGATCACTTGGATTTCTCAATGAAAACTAGTTTTTGGAGTGAAAACATAAAAGTCCATTTTTCTCAGAAACTATAAGATTACTTGGATTTCTCACTGAAAACTGATTTTTTGAGTCAAAACTTAAAAGTCCATTTTTCTTAGAAACTACAAGGGATAGACCAAAAACATTCATAATCTGTGATCACTTGGATTTTTCACTGAAAACTGATTTTTCGAGTCAAAACATACAAGTCCATTTTTCTCAGAAACTATAAGAGATAGAGCAAAAACAATAATAATCTGTGAACACTTGGATTTCTCACTGAAAACTGATTTTTGGAGTGAAAACATAAAAGTCCATTTTTCTCAGAAACTATAAGAGATGGAGCAAAAACAATGGTAATCTGTGATCACTTGGATTTCTCAATGAAAACTGATTTTTGGAGTGAAAACATAAAAGTCCATTTTTCTCAGAAACTATAAGAGATGGAGCAAAAACAATGGTAATCTGTGATCACTTGGATTTCTCAATGAAAACTGATTTTTGGAATGAAAACCTAAAAGTCTATTTTTCTCAGAAACTATAAGAGATAAACCAAAAACAATGATAATCTGTGATCACTTGGATATCTCAATGAAAACTGATTTTTGGAGTGAAAACATAAAAGTTAATTTCTTTCAGAAACTTGAAGAGATAGAGCAAAAACAATAAAAATATGATGGTCTTACATACTCATAAAAATGTTTATCAACATTGAAAAGTAAACACAAACATTAATACTTACATACATGTGTATTACAACATTTTTCCATATTCCTTTATCTTGATGACATTGTCAAACGTATGATGTTGATGAAACTTTTATGACACTATCATCCTGTCAATGTTGGTGATGATGATGTAAATGATGATACTGATGTCTTCCTGTTAAATAGCGAATGTAATGTGTTCATCAACCAGACACTTTTCAATGTGTTAACATTAAGAAAAAATCACTGCTGCCATGATTTACTAAAGGATGAGAAAAAGTTTCAAAGTGATGATAAATAATAACATATAAATACAAGACAGTTAGACATGCAGAGCAGCAAACAGATAGTGCATTTTAACAATGCATTGCAAAACAAAAAGTTTCATATTGTAACAACAAACAACATACGTTTAATAAGTAGTAAGTATTAATAACATTCATCCCTTACATACATATTTGGGCCTGAGATATTTCATATAATTCTAATATCTCATACCACAACATGGATATGTTGCGCGCCAAAAACTCTATACACTTGTGCTTAGCAACATCACATGGTTTCTATGTTGTTGCTTGCAATGTTGCTAGTGAAACGGTAAAGGATCTTTAAACATTTGTTATTTTTGTTATTGTTGGGGGTTGGTTTTTAACATTCCTTTTTTTGTTTTTTTTTTTTTTTACCAAGTTGTTGTTTTTTTATCTTCTACATTTGTTGCTTGTGCATCTACAACAAACACCCACGTGTAATACTGAAGCTGACTGCCTGGTGTTGACGATGTTTTTTGCCGGTGATGGTGGTGGTTGGCAGAGTTTTTAGCTTTTGTTGCTTTTAACACTTTACAATGCTTTTGGCTGGCTGGTTGAATGAATGAATGGATGTATGGATGATATAAGGATGTACGTATGTTTATGTGCCTGCTGCCTTGGTTGCGCCTTTATACCACCGGCACTTTGTTTGCGCCGCATTTCTTTCGTTTGTTTGAATATTTTCAATTTCTTTTTTTCATAATTTTAAATTGTGGTAGAATCTGTTTTGCAAACAATTTCATTTGATTTTTAACTGTCATCAACAACGGTAGTATAACGGTAAAAAGTAATATAATCATTTGTGAATAATTATATTTGTGAAATGATATTAATAATTTCGTAAAATAAAATTTTTAAAGTTGTATTAAAAACCGATTTCGTTATAAAGCGTCTTCAACTAATTAAAAAAAAAGTTCGTCAATTGCTGATACCGGCGCGTTTTAAATATAAATTTTTAATACAAATTTCGTCAGATGTAAGTGATATTTATTTAAGAAAATTAACCAATCTCGGGATTATATGTTGCTCTCAGTAATTCGATCGGAAAATAAAAACCTTAAAATTTGAACAAAATTTTTATACATTTTTAATAGCCGACGGGTTTTTGATTTATACAAAAACACTACATTTTACGACATTTTTGGGGAATAATTAACACGTATAAGGGTATATATGTATAGGAGCATGTAGCAATCGTTAAGTGATAATTGTAAAAATTTCAGCCCTATAGTTTCTCCCGTTTAAGTTCTACAAGATTTATATGTGACAGGGAACTATAAATATTCTAAACAGAAGTAAATCAGAAGTAAATATATAACCGACGTAACACTAGATGTTTGGGATTAATAACATCTTCCAACTTCCAAATATATCGCGTTTTAATTTCTTTTTTAACTTTGGTCGAACATTTTCTTCGATTTACCGACTTTGCCTATTTTTAACAACAAACAAACTTTATAAATAGGGCATTTTTGTGGAAATTTTCCGACAAAAATTCTACCCCTTGTACTCGTATCATGTCTTTCACTGAAAAAATAAACAATTTTGACTCTCATAGAACCCCCGGGGCACGTTACCTTGAAGAAAGACCCCATCTTGGTGTTATTGCAATTCCGGGGAAAAATGGTGCTACCAGTACCTCTAGACTGCCGGAGTCAAACTAGAGAATCATATAATATGGTGCCACGGGAACCGGTAGTCCGCAGAGCAGTGTTTCGGACTTTGTCATGGAGAGTAACCTTCGGAAAGCACGTGGTGGCTGTGGTTTAAACCCAAATTCGCGGGAAGAGAATGTCGGTTAAAAGACTGATGCACGGTAAAGTCTAAAATTCAAGATAAGTTCGGTGCTGTTGTCGAAACAACATATATGATTGTATGTCGGACTAAGCGTTAGAAATGAGTTGGTGTTAAGTTTATATAATACAGAATGAATGAACGGAACTTACCCACCCGTATACCTAGAGTGAGTGTGTCGAATGAATGATATGTGTGTGATGTGTTCCAGTATGTTCTCTGTAAGAACTAGTTCTCTACCGATAAAGTCCCTAGGTGCTGTTGCCGACTCAACAGATGCCATCCCATCTGAATGGCTGTAAACGAAAGTGATGCTTTTGCATCTCGGAAGAGCCAGCAATGGTCAGAGAGAGAGAGAGAGTACATGTACCGGCAGAATCATGTATAAAAATTGTACCGGCATGTAAGAAGCTATATGGGTGAGTCGTCGAGTCAGCTCACCCTGTGGTTGAAAAAGTACCACCGTGAAATAATGTGTTCACTTAAAACACTTCGACCTCTTGACCCTGATAGAGGTTTTTTATGGCTTTCCATTTGTTAGTTAGTGGCCACTGTATCATATGTGTTATCCAGGCACTTAACATCTTCAACATCTCTCTTCAACATCTCTCGTATCTTCAGTAAACGGATTTTAACAAACGTACAGATGTTAGGTTAGGTTGTTAGGAGGATGTATACTACATCAAATCCGAAGAAATACACCTAAGCCACTATCGGGCCTGTTGTGCGCTCCTTTTCATGAAAAAAAATTCTTCACTGAAAGTATTATTTTTCAATGTTCAGAAACTCAGTTTCCTGGATGAGATTCCTAAAAAATTTCCAATCAGTGTTAGTCAGGAATGTTATTTCCGGAATAACACCACTTCCAAGATACATGGATCTAACTTCGACGAATGCCTGACAGTGGCAAAGAAAATGCTCCACAGTTTCACTGACCTCTCCACAGGCTCTGCATTCGTATGAATACGGACGTCCAATTTTGTGTAAATGTGCTCTTAATCCTGTGTGTCCACTCATAATACGCACCATCATACTAACCTCAGACTCGCTCATTTTGAGGAGATTTCTCGTCTTGCTCTCGTCAGGGTCACCCCATAGGATCTTTGTGTTTCCATCCACCGTTTCATTATTCCAAGAGGCCTTATGGGATTCTCTCACACATATTTTTAATTCAGCTTTTGTTGCGTCGAAAGGTTTTGCGTTCGTCAGGTTAACTACCTTTACAGCTTTTACATTCGCCCTTTCGTTGCCGACTACTCCCGAGAGTAAACCTTACCTCTGCGAGAATAATAAGTTAAAGATTTCTTACAATCCAGTACAATTTTAGATTTAATTCTATCACCTGATATCGCCCTAGCTCTGTGGGCACCATATTTATTCTAATCCAATTAACACATTGCGTTATTGCTCGGACTTCTGCCTGGAAGCTTGTGTTATGATAAGGTAAACTGTGGTAAATGTCTGTTTCTGGGTCTTCAATATAGAACCCCAGGACCACTTTGTCCCCCAATTTAAAGCCATGCGTGTAACAACGAATTCCTACTGGTATTTGCTTGACCAAGACATTCTATCTGGGGTCAGCGTTTCAAAGTTTTCGACATATTCTGTGTCTGAAATGCGATCAGGCACGTCGGATGATTGTGTATAACCTTCCAATGTGTCCAGTATACATTGATGACGTGTCCTATTACCGCTTTTGGCCAGTTCACCTAAAGTACAGAGCCGTTCGGCTGTAAGCGCCGCCTGACGATATGTTTCGATGGGTGGAATATCTAGCAAGGTTTCCAGAGCCTTGGTTGAATTAGTACATATAATATTGACTGATCCTAAAGAAATTTGACTGAAAGATTTAAGTTCAAATAAAACTTGTTTATATCGAACTTACAAGCTTGTTATTAATGTGATTCCAATAGACAGGCAAACAGACGGACGGACATGGCTAGATCGTCAGAGTATCTAATAAAGGCCCATCATAAGGTTTAGTGAAATGAGAAATTTTTTGAACATACTTATTTGTATGTTATTGCTAGGAAATTCCTAACAAATTTCAAAATAATTACATGTTAAATGGCAACAATTTAGACCTTTAAAAAAATATTATGTGTGACTTTAATGTCATCAATCATTTAGGACTAAAAGTTCGCATTCAGATACGTACACACACACTCATTTATATGCCTATCACCTATGTATATATGTAAGTGTTAACTACATATGTACATGAGTTCAATTTATACAGATCAGATATGTCGACATACGCACACACACATGACCAATTAAGGATAACATGTTTATAAAAACTCTCTTGTATCTACCAAATAAACTGAATAAAAACTACCAACCATGTACTATATGACGATGATGATATCAAGGCCAAAGGCTTAAATACAAAATGATTAAGTACTCGAAAATTACGATTACATGTGTATGTGTGTGGTGTTTTTGACACACACACACATGTATGCACACTTTTACAATTACACTTGTTTGAAACGCACTTTATCCTTTTAACAAGTATGATGCCTGCAATTTGTAACCGAAAGGGTATATTTCAAATTGAATTTGATTTAAGGGTAAATGCAAAATAAGTTCGACTTTATTAAATAAAAGAGTTTTACAGTTTGGGCTCTATGGAGTGGCACTTAAGTGTACTTCTGACAAATGTCTGTATTTGTATTTTATAAATAAAATTATTAGTAACAGTAGAAGGTCTTTTAGTGGATGAATTTAAAATAATTTTATGCCAATAGAAAATTCAGAGACCCTGCGATGTAGGGTAGTTAGCATATGTACAACTATAAAAACTTATTTGGTTTTAAATTTTAGTCCAATGACTAAAACTTTTACTGTATAAAACAAGTAAGAAAGTATAGTCGGGCGTGGCCGACCCTACACCAGTTATGAATATTAAATGTGATTTATTTTTCATAATAAAGCATTTATCTTCAATATTCCCTTGTTCCGATACATTTAAGCAATTTATGGATGAAAAACTAATTTTCTGAAAGAGGCTTTATATGGGGGCTAGGGGCAAATATGGACCAAGCCCGATAAAATTTTGTGAATATATTTATATTTACATAATATTTTATTGTGCTGAATTTCATCGCGATATTTGTGTTTATAAGTTAATTTGGGACATTCAAGTAATTTTCTGAAGGGGACTTTGTATGGGAGCTAGGGTCAAATGGGGCCCGATCTTTATGAAATTTGGCAGGGTCATCAAGACTTCTATAAAACTTAGTTGTGCCGTATTTTATCGATATATCTGTATATTTAACATAATTATGAGCTCAGAAGCCCTTTTCGGGGGGTTCTGTTCTATGGGGGCTAGGTGAAATAATGGACCGATTTTAACCATTTTCAATAGGCTTCGTCCTTGGGTCAAATAAAACGTGCGTGCCAAATTTCATCCAATTATCTTGAAAATTGCGACCTGTACCTTGCGCACAAGGTTTACATGGACAGCCAGCCAGCCAGCCAGCCAGCCGGACGGACGGACGGACGGACATAGCTTAATCGACTCAGAAAACGATTCTAAGCCGATTGGTATACTTTAAGGTGGGTCTAGGACGAATATTTTTGTATGTTACAAACATCAGCACAAATCCAATATACCCTCCCCACTAAAGTGGTGCAGGGTATAACTACATACAATTCTAAACTCATACGTCTAACTACATACAAGTGAGTAAATGATGTTCGAATTAAAATTTTACAAAGTTTTTGTGGTTGAAATTTGCGTTGATTGTTGATGGATAAGAACTGAATATAAACGCCACAAGTGGCACATTATTTTACTAAAATCCCACATACCATTTTATAAAATGTTATTATCCTTTTTAACAAGCATCATAGTCACTATTTACAAAGACACGTATGTGCTTGTTGCAAAAAGTCCTTATCATATGGCTGAATTCTAAAAGATTTTAAGGGATAGAAATTGTAATTCCAAAATAAATTCTCGCTATAATTAAGTTTTTAAAGGTTGCTTACAAGTTAAGTGTCGGTAAAATGTTTCTATGTAAAATCAAGTTGTAAAACCACGAATCCATCATGCTGGGGTTGATGTATGACTACAAAAACCACCCTTATGGGAAGGACTATTCGCTATAGTTTACAAATTTAAATTGTAATTAAGATTATGTATTCGATTTAATTGTAAATATGGTGTTAAGATAT